GAACTGCTCTGTATTGGAACTGCCCTATGTAAAGGAGGAACTTAGCATGTTCTTCTTGTTGCCTTTCAAAGATGATGGCTTGGCAGAACTGGAAGACAAGTTGAATCATGAATCTTTGACACAAGCCTTGAAAAATGTTCGTAAAGTGATAGTCGACATATCCATGCCAAGATTTGTGTTGGAATCAAGCTTTGAGCTAAACAACGTCCTGAAGTCTCTAGGAATGTCTGATGCTTTTGACGAGCAAAAGGCTGATCTGTCTGGAATCGATGGAACCCGTCTCCTGTACATCTCTCAGGTGGTCCACAAGGCCTTCCTGGAAGTGAACGAGGAGGGGAGTGAGGCTGCTGCAGCCACGGCTGTTAGGGTTATGACAAATTCCCTCCCTATAATCGAGCCATTCAAGGCTGATCATCCCTTCCTGTTCCTCATCCGCGACACTAGAGCTGATGTTGTGCTGTTCATGGGAAGACTTGTTCGTCCTCCCACAGCAGGATCAGCTGGAGGTTCAAAGAAAACTGAACTTTAGAGCTGTTGTTATGTTTCTGTATTTTTGGGTCTACTTTACCAAGTGATGTTTGGGAACGGGTGTCCCAGTCGTCTAAGGCGCCGCCATTCGCTGTGCACAGTTGTGTCCCTTGGGCACGCCAGAAATCTATGATTGTGGGTTCGAATCTCGGTTCTCTCGATTATGTTTCTAGGTTTGTCAGCTACATACCCGTGCTTGTGGGTTTCACCGAAGTGGTAAATGTTTGAGACCTGCATCACTTCGGGCTTTCCTCCCACGTTAAGCTGACACACCATGATATGACGGGAATAATGTTAAAAGTGACGTTAAACCCAACTCACTCACACTCAACTAAAATGGCTGCGCCCAGTGAAGATGATCTGCTTGATAATCTTGATCTATATTGTAATAAAACGGGCCGAACATTGTGAAGTGCATCTAATCACGTGAGCACCTTGATTAAAACCATGAAAACATTTGGAAAATATCTGTTGATGCTAAGTTTTCGGTACACATGCTTTGCAAATACTGCAATCAACCAAAATATGCACAGCAGTTTACGAACCAGATGTCGATTTCGTTACTTGATTTTGATTGGACTATGCCTTGACTCATTTGTCTAGCCAAAATAAATTCTGGCTCAGCAAGGGTGGAAACTTGCCCCTGAAAGACGACCAAACCATGTTTCTTATACCGTACTTGTTTTGTGCTGTCACAATGAACAAAAACTGGAGTACTATTGTGACTGATGTGTGTATGTTTTGTTATTATCCCCCGCCGCGCGAAAGCGCGAAGCGGGGGATATAGTATTCACGACCGTCCGTCCGTACGTCCGTACGTCCGTCCGTACGTCCCACCTGTTTGTTGCCGCGATATCTCAAGAACTAAACACTGGATTGTCTTCATATTTGGAACTTTGGTGTATAAACAGACTCCGCAGACACCAGTCGGTTTTGGTGACCTTGATCCCATTTTCAAGGTCACAGCAGACAAATCTGCTTTTAGAGTTGGAAAACAGTGTTGCCGCGATATCTCAAGAACTAATCGCTGGATTGTCTTCATATTTGGAACTATAGTGTATATACAGACACCGCATACACCTGTCAGATTTGGTGACCTTGACCCCATTTTCAAGGTCACAGCAGGGAAATCTGTTTTTGGAGTTGGAAAACGGTGTTGCCACAATATCTCAAGAACTAATCGCTGGATTGTCTTCATATTTGGTACCATGGTGTACAGGCGGGGGATATTTCGTCACTCTGTGACAAATACTTGTTGTTCATCTTCCCAAGGCAAGAGAGTTAACTGGCTGTAAAAGTCCAGTTTCCACCCTTGCCGAACTTGGCTGGGATTATTGAGTTTGGCTTGATTAATGAGTCTATGCATAGTCCGGACCGGTCAAAATCTCGCACCGAAATTATGATCCGGTTCGTAAACTGTCATGCAGAGTTCGGTCGATTGCCGGATTTGTGCATTGCCAACTCATTGTCAACAGATATTTTCCAAAACTTTTTATAGTTTTAATCAAGCTGCTCATGTGATTTGATGTACTTCGTAAAGTAAGAACCGTTTTATCACAAAATAGATCTTGATGGTCGATCAGATCATCTTGACTGGGTGCCACCATTTTGTTTGAAACAAATGCAAGTGATACAAGAGGTGGAATCTGATTTGTACATATGGGAGAGGCATAGAATGGACATAACTGGTAATAGCCACTGGTGGCGCTACGATCGAGCCCAGGAATTCCAGCCTAGTTTGGCAAGGGTGGAAACTGGACTTGTAAAGTCAGTTACCGCTCTTGCTTCAGGAAGATGGGTATTGTTTGGTACTCCAACTATTACTGATAGTGTTAACATGCCATATATGGTTTTCAGCACTGTTTAAGTCGCAACTCCTAGCTCACACAATATATATTTCTATTCATATATATATTATTTTTAATGCCACACTCACGATATTGTACTATAGCTTAGTAGCTGGCATGATTAGTCGTAATATTTATATTACAAATGTGCTGATAATAAAATAATATATACAGGTACTTCTGGCTCCTAGTCTTCTAAAATATTGATATATATTTAATGACCCTTTTACGGTCACAATGAGTAGGATTTACATGTTGACACTCGAGCCAAGGAGTGACACAGTGCTCAAAACTCCTTTTTCTTCTCTACTGTTTGGTTCAAATACTCATTATTACCTCAACCAGCATGCAAATGAATTACCGTATTCGACGTAATAAGCGCCAAGGGCGCTCTCTAAATTAGAAATAGGGGGCTCTTACTAGAATATTGTTTTGGTGAAAAAAACATATTTGAAAGATAAATTTTGTGGTTTATGCTGACAGCCTGAGAAGTTTATGTACAACAGATATATTTTTCCAGAATTTAATTGCCCAGAATTAAGGGTGCATATAACACACATGTGCATATTAAACCAAATAAATAAGTCTTGTGTACATTGATCAATAGGAAGGGATGCTAATTGGGATTATTCACTCGCCAATATATCAGCAAATATTGCCGTGGGCGCTTATTAGAGTGGGACGCTTATTACGTCAAATATGGTAATTATTTTGGAGAAACTCTTCACTGAGAAAATGATGTGGACTTTAAACGATCAATACAGTGCTCCCTTGTTATTGCGCCCTTCAATATAGCGCTAACTCGGTTATAGTGCGCGGTAAAGATGGCTCCCAACATTTTTCACCGAAATCAAGTTTTCAATGACACGATGTTTTCCCCCCCATCTCAGAAAACATTATGAGCTGATCACCGCGATCACATAACACCGGAAATACCAGTCAACAAATCCAAAATGAAGTACACAATTTAATCTTATTATCATAATATCTGGTAATAAAACAATGGTTTATCTGTACTCACGTTTGCAATATATTTTTTTAATTATATTGAAAATTTCATTCAATAATTATAATAATGTTTACAAAAATTTCAGCGAAATCTTTAGTGAAGTGATTGCTAGATCGCACAAGTCACCGTTATTTACAGCAACCACAATCAAATTACCGTTATTGACGCCTTGAAACGAACTTTAGTTGCAAGAGAATGGATACACATATCATAAATGACATACCATGACTCAATAAAAGTCATATTTCAGGCAGTTTGAATATTAAATGTCAACATAACGTTTTCGTAATCAAAATACATGTAGCGCATGAAGTCCTTATGGTGACTGGTCAAAATTGTTCCATATGTCAAAAAATATCCTGCATTCACTTATGGTTCTTATAATTTGAAGTATATATGGTAGAAGCTGCAACTAAAATAACACGGTATTGGAATATATTATTCCTGATAAAATAATAATTTCAGATAGAATTTCTTCCCACCACTGCATCAAATAAGAAAAGATGAACATGTTTATTGCCTATTCCTTTCATTGCTGTGAGGTGCCAGAACCTTACTGAAGTGACATTTCTTCTCCAGAGCCATGGCTGGAAGTGGAACTGGACTGAAGACCCCGGACCTGGTGAAGCAGGTCGCTACTGCCAATTCCCAGTTTGGTCTGGACCTGTACAAGAAGGTTGCCTCCGACCTGAAGGACTCCAATGTGTTTCTGTCTCCCTTCAGCATCTCGGCAGCTCTGGCCATGACCCAGCTCGGGGCTCGAGGCGACACTGCAGCTCAGATGAACCAGGTCCTGAAGTGGACCGACCTCCAGGACTCCGTACATCCAGGGTTTGAAGACTATCTGGGTCTTCTGAAGAAAAAGAGAAGCTGTGAACTTACAACAGCCAACCGCTTGTTTGTCAATAATAAGTGCAAGATTCTTGATGAATTTCTACAGAAGACAGATAAGCATTATGGTGCTCAGGCTGTTCTGTCTGACTTTGTGGGCAATGGTGCAGGAGAGGCTCAGAAGATTAACCAATGGGTGGAATCGGAGACCAATGGCAAGATCAAGGATCTGATTACCGGAGGAATCAATCCACTGACAGCAATGATTCTGGTTAATGCCATCTACTTCAAGGGAAAATGGGCACAAACTTTTTTCGGCCCAGATACTGTGAAGGGCACATTTAAGGTGAATCCTAAAGAGAAGGTCCAGGTTGATATGATGCAGATGACTGAGCCGTTTAACTTTGGACGTAATGATGAACTGAACTGCTCTGTTTTGGAACTGCCGTATGTAAAGGAGGAATTTAGCATGTTCATCTTGTTGCCTTTCAAAGATGATGGTTTGGCAGAACTGGAAGACAAGATGAATCATGGCTCTCTGACACAAGCCTTGAAACAAGTTGAAAGAGTTGCTGTCAGCATATCCATGCCAAGATTTGTGTTGGAGTCGAGCTTTGAGCTGAACGATATCCTGAAGTCACTGGGAATGTCTGACGCTTTCGACGAGCACAAGGCCGACCTTTCTGGAATCAATGGAATCGGTGAACTCTCCATCTCCAAGGTGGTCCACAAGGCGTTCCTGGAAGTGAACGAGGAGGGAAGTGAGGCTGCTGCAGCCACAGGGATTTCAGTGCAGCTTATGTGTTGCTATATGAAAGGCCAACCATTCAAGGCAGATCATCCCTTTCTGTTTCTGATCTGTGACAACCGAGTTGATGTTGTGCTGTTCGTGGGAAGACTTGTTCGCCCTTGAGGAAGTTTGAAGTACACTGAGCTTTAAGCTTTAGTTATAGATTCGTACTAGTCCTATAGTCATAAACACAAAATTCTCTTGGCTGCATACTTCCTCATCTTAAGGACCGCTTCCGTGGTCTAGTGGTAGAGCGGAAGGTCCGGGGTTCGATCCCCAGATGCGTCATACCAAAAGACGTTAAAAGATGGTACTTGTTGTTACCCTGTCTGGTGCTCGCCATTAAGGGGCTAAAACAAGGACTGGTCGGCTCGGAGTCAGTATACTGTGTCCAAATGGGGTATTCATGTTAAACTGTGGCATGGTATCTCAGTGAGCTAGCACTATAAATCGGCATCAGTCCGAACTAGTACAAGCAGCCACACAAACACACACACCTACATGCATGTCGCTATATAAGTGCAATAATCTTGGACGCGACGTTCAACCCTGTTTCACCTCACCACCTCATCATCTTAAGGACTAAGCTTGAACTAGTTTCATGTTACAGGTGTCTCTATACAGAGGCTTTGTTCGAATGTTTCTTCACCCGGCAGAGAGTGGGTGTCCGGTAGTATGAGATGGTAGTGTCAGCGTTAACCTTCTAGGATTTGCTGTATACTCCCCAGGGAGCTGAGAATGCAATTGGTGGGCACACTGATCTATTGACCTTGGTAATATTGTGTAGCACTGCAGAGCTGCACACCACGATGGCAGTCTGGACTTTTATTAATGCATCAAATGCAGGAGAGATGTCCTTTGCATTGTCCAAATAATCATCTTTACAATCATGATTTATGGACATGGTCAAAATCTAGAAACATAATCGGGGCGAATTGGGATTCGAACCCATAATCATAGGTTTCTGGCATGCCCAAGGGATGCAACTCTGCACAGCGAATCGCGGCGCCTAAGACGATTGGGCAATCAGTTTGCTTAAACGAGTATGTTACCAAATACCAAATAAATGTATTCCTAGAGGAGTAAAATACTGGAATATAGTATTTGACTACAGTTGGACTTGGAATATTTAAGGATTTTTTAATATTTACAAAAAAAATAGAAATAAAAATGAAACATGCGGCAAACTTTATGATGATGCGAGCAGTGCCTGACAACCATGACTATTTTTTTCAGCCTTAAAGGACATATTTTACCACAATAACAGCTGGTTACACATCACAGAATTTGTTTCCTGTATGATAATAATTCAGGAAACAAACAAAAATCTTTGCACCTTTTGATGTGGTTCCAAGGGATTTTTAACAATATTGTCATGATACAATAGTTAACGTTGAAACAACAGATTGTTTGCAACAAAGATGACTCACAAGGCAGGGTAGCAAGTATGTTTAAAACATAAGTCACACATTATCAAACAGACTTGATGCACTTTCTGAATATATGATATTTTTAGAAAAGGAATGAATTGTTTCCTGAATTTTTGAACATATATCATGGTTTTGAACTATTGGCATACATTGTACTTTTAAGGCAGAGGTTTCAATGCTGTACAAATTCCAGATCCAGAAAGATACTATTTGCTTACAACTTCTCAACCATCAAAGGCCTGGTCATCACATAGAATCTTGGTTGCAGACTTTCAGAGTTTTTTACTAAATTTGATACTTTGTTTTTTTCAACATAATCTGATAATGTGTGATACTATCTAATTCTTTGACCTTCAAGTGGTGTTTTCACACCTCCCTGACTTTTTTAAAGAAAAGTGTGTAAATGATGGGTTCTTCAAGTAGAGCAGGACATGCATACCAGCCCCTGCTGTAATTGGGGCAAAAAAGTAAAAAAACTGCGGTATTTGTTTTGTAAATTCTACAACCAGTGTTTAATAAGTCTGCACTCATTTCTGTAAACTTTTTAGCTCAGTTTTATTAATTTCCTAGTTTTGCACCTGTTTGACTCATGACAGACATTTTTTCTCATAAACTTATCCATGGCTGGAATAGCTTGCTGTTGGTTGGTTGGTTTGTTGTTTAACGCCGCACTCGGCAATATTCCAGCTATATGACGGCGGTCTGTAAATAATCGAGTCTGGACCAGACAATCCAGTGATTGACATCATGAGCATAGATCCATGCAATTGGGATCGATGACATGCATCAACCAAGTCAGCAAGCCTGCCCACCAGATCCCGTTAGTTGCCTTTTACGACAAGCATAGTCGCCTTTTACAGCAAGCATGGGTTGCTGAAGACCTATTCTACCCCGGATCATCACGGATCTGTTCGTTTAGTAATGGCACCATCCTGGAATGTTGACCAAAGCCATTTTCAACAATATTTCCTGTACACTCATGAAACAACCTCATCATGTTGAGATCTAAATATCTACACAATGTTGCTCGTGCAATATCATGTAAATTTGTACCAGCATCCAAAAAGACTTAAAGTCATCATTGATTAGTTTTATATATTATTACATTGAATGCAATATTAACGTAAGATTTAAGATTTTATGTATTTTATATACTCTTAATTTTGGGCAAAATGTTATTTCATTTTTTCCTTTCTGGGGATATTTTCCCAAGACAATTTTCACCCTCAGTTTACATATATTTTTATGATAAGGATCAAGGTTCAGTTTTGTTTACTGTCCTTCAAAATGTTGTCAGAATATATTGCTGTGTTTGCCAAACTGATCTCATGTTTGTTTCTTGTGGTATAGTATGCTGTATATTTACTTGTTTTGCCAACATTTTATACCTTTTTCCAGAAAACATATCTTCATCTTGTTCATGTTGTTCAGTGGTTCTGTAAATTAATAATACCATATCGGTCTCAGGGAAACTTACACATCTTTAGGATCCTACATCCCTTTCGGTCTTAGGGTAATTTACACGTCTTTAGGATCCTACATTCCTTTTCGGTCTTAGGGAAGCTTACATATCGTTAGGATCATACTTCCCTTTCGGTCTTAGGGTAATTTACACATCTTTAGGATCCTACATTCCTTTTCGGTCTTAGGGAAGCTTACATATCGTTAGGATCATACTTCCCTTTCGGTCTTAGGGTAATTTACACGTCTTTAGGATCCTACATCCCTTTTCGGTCTTAGGGAAGCTTACATATCGTTAGGATCATACTTCCCTTTCGGTCTTAGGGAAACTTACACATCTTTAGGATCCTACATCCCTTTTCGGTCTTAGGGTAATTTACACGTCTTTAGGATCCTACATCCCTTTTCGGTCTTAGGGTAATTTACACGTCTTTAGGATCCTACATCCCTTTTCGGTCTTAGGGTAATTTACACGTCTTTAGGATCCTACATTCCTTTTCGGTCTTAGGGAAGCTTACATATCGTTAGGATCATACTTCCCTTTCGGTCTTAGGGTAATTTACACGTCTTTAGGATCCTACATCCCTTTTCGGTCTTAGGGTAATTTACACGTCTTTAGGATCCTACATCCCTTTTCGGTCTTAGGGTAATTTACACGTCTTTAGGATCCTACATTCCTTTTCGGTCTTAGGGAAGCTTACATATCGTTAGGATCATACTTCCCTTTCGGTCTTAGGGTAATTTACACATCTTTAGGATCCTACATTCCTTTTCGGTCTTAGGGAAGCTTACATATCGTTAGGATCATACTTCCCTTTCGGTCTTAGGGTAATTTACACGTCTTTAGGATCCTACATCCCTTTTCGGTCTTAGGGAAGCTTACATATCGTTAGGATCATACTTCCCTTTCGGTCTTGGGGAAACTTACACATCTTTAGGATCCTACATCCCTTTTCGGTCTTAGGGTAATTTACACGTCTTTAGGATCCTACATCCCTTTTCGGTCTTAGGGAAGCTTACATATCGTTAGGATCATACTTCCCTTTCGGTCTTAGGGAAACTTACACATCTTTAGGATCCTACATCCCTTTTCGGTCTTAGGGAAATTTACACGTCTTTTTGTGATAAGGATCAAGGTTCAATTTTGTTTGCTGTCCTTCAAAATGTTGTCAGAATATATATTGCTGTGTTTGCCAAACTGATCTCATGCATGTTTCTTGTGGTATGATATGCTGTATATTTACTTGTTTTGCCAACATTTTATACCTTCTTCCTGAAAACAGTGCTTTCAAATATATCTTCATGTTGTTCAGTGGTTCTGTAAATTAATAATACCGTATTCGACGTAATAAAATCCCCGCTCTAATAAGAGCCTGTGGCTATATTTGCTAATATATTGGCTGGTGGACAATCTCAATTGGCACCCCTTCCGATTGAACAATGTACTCAAGATTTATTTATTCGTGTATAATACGCACTCGTGTGTTATATGCACCCTTAATTCAGGGCAATTAAATTCTGGAAAAAAATGTGTTGTATATAATACGCACAGACTTTTCTTTTGTATCTTTCAGGCTGTCAGCATAAACCACGAAATTTACAATCTTTCAACTCTATTATATTTTAATAAGAGCTCCCTTTTTTCTAATTTTAAGAGCACCCTGGGCGCTTATTACGATGGTACCCGTGAAGATGGTTGATGCATGTCATTGATCCCAATTGCGTGGATGGATGCTCATGATATCAATCACTGGATTGTCTGGTCCAGACTCGATTATTTACAGACTGCCGTCATATAGCTGGAATATTGCTGAGTGCGGCGTAAAACAACAAACCAACCAACCAACCCTCTTGATGGACCTCTGTGGTCCTGTGGATAGACTGTCTTCCTTGACCGCGGAAGTTCAGAGCTTCTGCCAGGGTAAAGGAATGTCTTGATGGATTGGATGAATTGGAACACAAGCTGAACGTCAATACACTTGAGTTTGCTCTATCACACTTGCAAAAGCTTATGGTCAGTGTAACTCTGCCAAAGTTCACACTGCAATCAAGTTTTCATCTGAATGGTATTCTAAAGTCTTTTGGGTTGACCCATGCTTTTGATGAGCCCCAGGCCGATCTGTCTGGAATCGATGGAACCCGTCTCCTGTACATCTCCGAGGTGGTCCACAAGGCCTTCCTGGAAGGATGGGGTCTGATCCCCAGCCGTGTTATACCAAAAGACGTGAAAAATAACACTTATTGTTACCCTGCCTGGTTCTCTGCATTATGGGGCTAAAACAAGGACTAGTTGGCTCGGAGTATGCTGTGTCTGAGTGTGTGAGTGAGCATGGTTTTATGCCCCTTTAGCAATATTCCAACAATATCACGGCAGCTAGGGGACACCAGAAATCGGCTTCAGAAATTGGCTTCAGAAATTGGCTTCATACTCTGTACCCTTGTCGGGAACAACGCAGTTTACCATGTTTACAGGGTACAGCCTTATCTCTACCATAAACACAATTACCGCGCTATAGTGCAACCGCTGTCTCGCTATGCCATTACCGTGCCTCCCACTCCAGTGACTCTCTTCACTATCCAACACTCCATTTCAGTCTTAGGGAAACTTACACGTCTTTAGGATCCAACACTCCTTTTCGGTCTTAGGGAAACTTACACGTCTTTAGGATCCAACACTCCTTTTCGGTCTTAGGGAAATGTACACGTCTTTAGGATCCTACATTCCTTTTCGGTCTCAGGGAAACTTACACGTCTTTACGATCCAACACTCCTTTTCGGTCTTAGGGAAACTTACACGTCTTTACGATCCTACATCCTTTTTCGGTCTCAGGGACGTTTACACGTCTTTACGATCCAACACTCCTTTTCGGTCTTAGGGAAACATACACGTCTTTACGATCTAATTGGATATGAAAAAGTGTGCCCGGTAAGGCTTAAAAAAATAAAAGAATTGGTTCTCAGGCAATGGTTTTTGAAAATATAGTGCAGGTGGGCGGTGTCTAGACTGTTTTTTTTTAGCCTAAAGTGCACTACTCCCTCTGAGCGAATGCTTTAACCACTAGGCGACCCAACCGCCCCGTTTCTGAGTCGTATTCATGTTAAATTGGCTGGTATCTCAGTTGGCTATCTCTATAAAACCAGCAATAGTCTGGACTAATGACACGAGCCCCCCACACAAGTTCATGCACATTGCGCTATATGTGCAATAATCTTGAATGCAACGCTAAACCCCGTTTGACCTCACCTTCCTTCTTGATGACCTGGGAGACCCATGTTGTGAACGTGTATAATCTCTTCTACAGAGCCATGGCTGGAAGTGGACCTGGACTGAAGACCCCGGACCTGGTGAAGCAGGTCGCTACTGCCAATTCCCAGTTTGGTCTGGACCTGTACAAGAAGGTTGCCTCCGACCTGAAGGACTCCAATGTGTTTCTGTCTCCCTTCAGCATCTCCGCAGCTCTGGCCATGACCCAGCTCGGAGCTCGAGGGGACACTGCAGCTCAGATGAACCAGGTCCTGAAGTGGACCGACCTCCAGGACTCCGTACATCCAGGGTTTGAAGACTATCTGGGTCTTCTGAAGACACAGGGAGACTATGTACTGACAACAGCCAACAGACTGTTCATCAGTGACACATGTCAGCTACTGCCAGACTTTCTGAAGGACACAATGTTCCACTACGAAGCTGAAACAGCTCTGGCTGACTTTCAAGGCAGTACTGCCAGAGAGGTAAAGAAGATTAACGCTTGGGTCGAAGCTACAACCAATGGAAAAATCCTGAATCTTATTGCAGACCTTGATCCAAGCACAATCCTTGTTCTGGTCAATGCAGTCTACTTCAAGGGATCCTGGGAACAAATGTTTTCTAAAGAATGTACCAATAGAGATAAATTTACAGTGAATGCTTACCAGGAAGTCATTGTTGATATGATGCATTCGAAGAAAAAATTCAATCTTTGTTTTGACGAAACGCTAAACTGTCAGATCTTGGAAATGCCATATGTTGGTGGTGATCTAGCCATGTACGTGTTGCTTCCGAAATGTCTTGATGGATTGGATGAATTGGAACACAAGCTGAACGTCAATACACTTGAGTTTGCTCTATCACACATGCAAAAGCTTATGGTCAGTGTAACTCTGCCAAAGTTCACACTACAATCAAGTTTTCATCTGAATGGTATTCTAAAGTCTCTTGGGATGACCCATGCTTTTGATGAGCACAAGGCCGATCTGTCTGGAATCGATGGAACCCGTCTCCTGTACATCTCCGAGGTGGTCCACAAGGCCTTCCTGGAAGTCAACGAGGAGGGAAGTGAGGCTGCTGCAGCCACGGCTGTTGTTGTGCGCAAGAGGAAGAGGGTCAGAGAGGATGTGGAGTATTTTGTGGCTAACCGGCCTTTCTTGGTGATCATTAAGGACAAGAGAGCCGATATAGTTCTGTTCATGGGAAGGCTTTTGAACCCTTGTGCATAGAATCCAGGGCAGACCAGTCTATTACATTTTCAGATAGGGTTCGAGGCTGTAATATGTTTGTAAATGTTGGTGTAAAATTAAGAATGACATTGTTATATTTCAGGATTTCCTTGTGATATCTTTTATGACCCGACTTTGTATTAGAGTCTCATCTTCTTACATGTTTGTACATATTTTAATGTCATATATTTTCTTTCTTCATATTTTGGTGCTAATCAACTGTGCTATATGAATTACCCTTGGGATAATAAAGTCTTATCTTTTCTTATCATCAGGTCTTATCTTGATTATCTATGAGATACACTTCACTGGGTGCCACCATTTTGTTTAAAGCAAATGCATGTGATTTGAGAGATGGAATCTGATTGGACAAAAGGAGGGACGTAGAAGTGACACAACTTATAATAGCCACTGGTAGCACTACGATTGAGCCTTGTGGAAACTAGACTTTAACAGTCAGTGAATACCCTTGCCTTGGGAAGATGTAATGAATTATTAAATGTGTTCAAACATTATGTTATCCAGTTATACATAATCGACAAGACGCTCACTCTATTTCATACGTTGCGGAGTTGCATCCCTTGGGTACGCCAGAAACCTATGATTGTGGGTTTGAATCCCGGTTCGCCCGATTATGTTTCTAGGTTTGTCAGCACCATACCCGTGCTCGTGGGTTAATGTCCTAGACCTGCATCACTTCGGGATTTCCTCCCACATTAAGCTGTCACGCTGCGATATAACTGGAATATTGTTAAAAGCAGCGTTAAAAACCCAACTCATTCACTCAATCTCTATATAAATTAACTGACCAGACAAGAAAAGGTCACGGTAATTGCAACACCATGCAAAAACATGCTGCCAGTGTTTCAAATGAAATAAGAAGATAGATTGATTTCATCTGTTACCGACTTGCTTGCAGGAATGAGTTATAATCAATAAATATATTGTTTGTGGTGTGTCTTCTAGAACCTGTTGTTCGTGTTTTGAAAGTGCAGGAGGCATTGGTGGCCAAGTTGTCTAAGGCGCCGTGATTCATTTTGCAGAGTTGCGTCCCTTGGGCACGCCAGAAACCTATGATTGTGGGTTCGAATCCCGGTTCGCCCCGATTATGTTTCTAGGTTTGTCAGCACCATACCCGTGCTCATGGGTTTCACCGAAGTGGTAAATGTCTGGGACCTGCATCACTACGGGCTTTCCTCCCACATTAAGCTGACACGCCGCGATATGACTGGAATAATGTTAGAAGTGGCGTTAAACCCAACTCACTCACTCAAATTGAAAGCGCAAGTAGAAACCTCTTGGATGTGTTGTCAGAAATGATTCAGTAGGCCCATACTGCCAAATCGTGTTCTTCAATCAGTAGTCCTCTATATTACCTGTCATATGATCCGGAAATAGGTCCGCCCTGTTGTAAACTTAAGATAAGTTAATGCTAAGACAGCTACGAGAATAGACATATCTAACAGTTACAGTGGTAACTGAAACAGGTGACGGAGACTGTTATCTTCTTAGTGGTATATCTCGCCAGAGAATACTTTTGTAAGAATGAGGTGAGGTGAGGTGAAACATCGCGAAAAAGATTATTGCACATATATAGCAACGTGCATGTACGTGTGTGTGTTTGTGTGGCTGCTTGTACTAGTCCGGACCTGATGCCGATTTATAGTGCTAGCCCACTGAGATACCATGCCGCAGTTTAACATGAATACCCCACTCAGACACAGTATACTGACAGTATACCGACCAGTCCTTGTTTTAGCCCCTTAATGCCATCGCCAGGCAGGGTAACAACAAGTACCACCTTTTAATGTCTTTTGGTATGACGTGGCCAGGGATCGAACCCCGGACCTTCCGCTCTAGTAAGACAATAAAATGCTACCTGATTGACCTATATTGGCCTTGAGCATTAGTAAAAGAATCAATTTGTCCCGGAGAAAATAATTTTCTTTTTTGATTTCTCATCAAGTGTATTTGTGTTTGTAGAGGTGCTGGGACGATGTCGTGCAGCAAGGTGTCCCTACTGGCTGCAGCTGATGCCAAGTTCAGCACTGACCTCTACAGGGCACTGTCCAGTTCCCTGACTGACCAGAACCTGTTCCTGTCCCCCTACAGCATCCTGTCTGTCATGTCCATGGCCTACATGGGTGCCCGGGGAACCACTGCCACACAGATGATGCAAGTCTTGAAACTGACCGAAATATCCGAAACCGTACACATCGCTTTTCAGGAGTACCTGTCTGTTATGACTGGAAAAGCAAAGGGCTGTGAATTAGCTACGGCTAATAAACTGTTTGTGAGAAAGGACAAGCAACTGTGCCCCGAGTTTTCCAAAAAGGCGGCCCAATATTTCGGAGCTGAAACCGATTCCTGTGACTTCATGGGGAACCCAGAGTCAGAGTGTGCCAAGATCAATACCTGGGTGGCTAAACAAACCCACAATAAGATTCAGGGTGTAATCTCACCCCTATCCCTCACTGAAGACACATCAATGATTTTAGTAAATGCAATCTATTTTAAAGGAAAATGGACAAATGTCTTTGATAAGGTCTCAACAAGGAAGGCTTCGTTCACAGTCTCCTCCTCAAAGAAGGTCAGCGTTGATATGATGAACACCATAGACACGTTTGGGTACAGTGAGATCAAAGACTTGGATTGCACGGCGCTGGAACTACCTTATGTTGGGGACAAACTCAGCATGGTCATCCTCCTTCCAAGAGAATCCAGTGGTTTGACTTCCCTGGAACAGAACCTAAAGCCTCATCATCTTCAGTTCCAGTTTACTTCATTGGAGGAGGTGAATGTGTCCATGCCAAGGTTTAAGATGGAATCCAGTTTTGAGCTGGCGGATGTCCTGTCCAGTTTAGGGCTGACTACGGCTTTTGATCCTCTGGAGGCCAACTTTTCTGGGATTGATCCCTCGGGGTTGTTGACCGTGTCGAAGGTGGTCCACAAGACCTTTGTGGAGGTCAATGAGGAGGGGACAGAAGCAGCGGCATGTACCATGATGGACTGTGTTGATGGGTTCATGATACAGAAGGAGATCATCTTCAAGGCCGATCATCCGTTTCTATTCTTCATCCGAGACAGACAAAGTGGGATGATCCTTTTTCTTGGGAGGATTGTGAATCCAGAAGGACTGGAAACAGATTAATACATGTAGGTGCTGATATTTAAGATCCAATTAAAGATCCTGACTGTCAGCGTTCAGCATGGCTGGATCATTATGACCTAATTCCAGGTCATCATAGTGTTATTTACTATATAGATGTAAAAATGATATAAATATTACACAATATCCCATGGCTGAAGGGGCACGGGTGGCCCAGTCGTCTAAGGCGCCGTGATTCCCTGTGCAGAGTTGCGTCGTTTGGTCATACCAGAAACCTATGATTGTGGGTTCGGATCCTGGTTTGCCCCGATAATGTTTCTAGGTTTATCAGCACCATACCCATGCTCATGGTGAAAGAAACGAAAGATGAGTTGAAAGATAAATTTTGTGGTTTATGCTGACACCCTGATATGTTTATGTAAGACAGATATATTTTTCCAGAATTTAGTTGTCCATAATTAAGGGTGCATATAACACACGAGTGCATATCATACACGAAAAATAAGTCTTGCGTACATTGATCAATCGGAAAGGGTGCTAATTGTGATTGTTCACTAGCCAATATATTAGCAAATATCGCTGTGGGCGCTTATTAGAGCAGGTGCTTATTACTTCGAATACTGTAATACTTTAACAAACTCTGAACTTTGGGATCGTGTAGGTTGTAAAATATATTCAAGCTTTCATTCTGATTTAATTCTGTTTAGAGCAAGAAGGAATCTATCAACCAGGCATGTGGTTTATTTTCTTTGAATATGTTTAGGCATTGTCACTATATAATGAATAGTAGATGTATATAGTGAATATCAATATGTACTTTTCATTCATCATCAACATCTTTACTATAGCATGGGCGGATACAGAGGGGGGGTGCGGGTGTTTGCACCCCACCCCCCCTTTTTATTTCGAAAAAAATCTTTATTTCTGTATAAATTACCACCAAAGACAATATATAGATCTTAATTGTACACCCCCACCTTTTCAAAAAAGCTGTATCCGCCATGATATAGTATGGGGTCTGTGAAGCTGGCAGTATTCCAGAATGTCCCAATGCTCTCAAAAATGCTGAAGGATGCTTTGGAGCTCTTTTTTTTCACTTGAGTGCCGCTCCACAGGAAAGAGTGCCACTCCACAGAAAAGAGTGCCACTCCACAGAAGAGAGTGTCACACCACAGGAAAGAGTGCCACACCACAGGAGAGAGTGACCCTCCACAGGAAAGAGTGACCCTCCACAGGAAAGAGTGCCACACCACACGAGGAGTGCCGCTTCACAGGATAGAGTACTGCTCCACAGGAAAGAGTGCCACACCACAGGAAAGAGTACCACTTCACAGGAAAGAGGGCCACTTCACAGAAAAGGGTTCCGCTCCACAGGAAAGAGTGCCACACCACAGGAAAGAGTACCACACCACAGGAAAGAGTACCAAACCACAGCAAAGTGTGCCGCTCCACAGGAAAGAGTGTCACACCACAGGAAAGAGTGCCGCTTCACAGGAGAGAGTGCTGCTTCACAGGAAAGAGTGCCGCTTCACAGGAAAGAGTGCCGCTTCACAGGAAAGAGTGCCGCTCCACGGGTCCTCTATGGTCAATAATGGCAAGGTGCAATACAAAATGATTTCTGAAAAATCTTTCAGAAGTTTCAGTACTCTTACAGCTCTGTTATCTATTTTTCACTGTATGTATTTCTTTCTTGTTTATTCAAATAAACAGGACAAAATGACCATCACTGAAAGGCAGTTTTTGTTAAAAAAAAGGACATTATTGCTGAAGATACCATGTGGAATAGGGCAGCAGTGGAGGGGGTACCAGGTGACTATTAAGTTATACGGTGTTAAATGAACATTAAGAGGTTGAATTACATAAATTGCTTTAGAAATATGACAGAAACACGAAGAGCTGTTTAAATGAGAAAATGGAACAATGGATGGCCCAGACGTCCCACAAGCCACAATTTGCTGTGCAGAGTTAAGTCCCTTAGGTGTGTCATGATCCTATCATTGGGGGATCTAATCCCAGATTCACCCTGGTGATCCTCAGCTTGTCAGTTATGTTGTTAGGTCTCACTGGTCTGCAGTGGGGGGCACGGGTGGCCCAGTCGTCTAAGGCGCCGTGATTCGCTGTGCAGAGTTGCGTCCCTTGGGCACGCCAGAAACCTATGATTG